AAAATTTGCGAATGGCACAGCCAAAATGTAACAAAAGGGAAAAAAGTATTTTTGCACTTTATAGTACCTAATAAATAAATAAATAAAATAAAAGATTAGCAATGAGCAACAATGCTGTCCTCCAGTTACCAGAGATAGCCCAGTCTATCTCTTAAACTTCCAATGTAATTATATTATGATTGAAACCTTTCCTAGCAAAAGAATCTGCAAAAATTATTGAAAATTATATGCATAAATAAAATAATATTTGATCTTTGGAACAAAACATGTTTTAGTATCTTCAGTGAATTAAAAATTCATTTCCCTCCCACTCAGATTTACTGGATTCTCTAGAGGCAAGATGGACAAAGCTCTGAAGCTTCACACTGTTCTGAGAAACAGTTACCTTCAACGAAGAAGAATCCCAGAGGAGGGAAAAAAGACAACATTTCTGAAGAAATATCCCTCTACTGTAGCAAGAAGACTTCAGTCGCCAGGGATGTTATTCCAGCAAGAGGTGCATACACTAAGTTCACTTAAAAATATTTTGAAGCAAATATTATATTTGAGTTGTATATACATAGATATATAGATGTTAAAAACATATACATTGCTATGAACACAACAATGGTAATAATTAATCCAAACAAATTTCTATCAGCACAAAATCTACATTTGCAAATAGCAAGAGTAAGAAATTAGGGTATGATCAGATAGCTGCAAAGATGCACATCTGATTGCATTGGAAAGGGTAGCTTTAATGGGAGAGATCCTTCCGTCTGCAGGGAAATCCCTCCAGCCTGGCCCTAGAAAATGGAAGTCTTACAGATAGACCAAAAAAGTCCAGCCTGGGTACAGACAGTCTGGAATGCATTTCCCTGTGTGTCATGTGATTGCTGGGGAAAAGACTGCACTGAACCACTCTACAAGTAGTCCATTCAGATTGTGATCTAGTCCCCCATGCAATCACATCCTTAATTAGCAGGAGCATTTCGAGGCTACTGTAGCATCATCATATTAAAAATGTAGCTGTAAAAAGTAAAGCAGACTTAGTATACTGACGCTCAATTTACACAGCAAAAAGAAAACATATCTATAAATATAAAGTGAAAATATCTGTATTATTATTTTACTGCTACCACAAAAACTGTGATTTGTCAAAAACAAGTCAGTCTTGCAACTGTCAGTCTTTCCACATTATTCTTTTTTAAAACGCATAAAAACCCAATCCTGGAGGTATGCAGAAGTTGGGGGAACAGAAGAAACTCCCACATTCTAATGGCACTGGATACCACCTTCTGCAATCCTCCAGGATGAAGGGGAAAAAGGGCTCTAGAAAATTCCCATTATCTATATTTTAAGTGCAGGGGCAGCTACAGAAGGATAGGAACATTGTTGATTCTGAAAGAAGCAATGAAATCCTCTGAAAGCATACAATTGGATTATGGCTGATATATATGTACTGAATCTTCACCAAAGCTTTGAAGTTCATCCAGACAGTTAAATCAACACTTGAAGTGAGCATACAAACTCACCCACCCATCCCTGCTTTCTTCATAAAGAAGATGACAATCTGAAGAGGAGACATTGAGATAGACAGAAGCTCTTAGAAAGTCAGCATTTGGTGCCATTTGGCGAGGCTCAATGCACAGATTACACTGTCCTCTTCAGACTACACAGAGTGACACTATTTGGGGCAGGAATAGCAGTCACAATTTCTCATGAATTCATATCCTTTTTGTAAAAGCTTGAATCAGACTAAAGCTATTTAGGTACTAATCAGAAACTGAAACAAGGAGTTTGATTATTATCCTTTGTCATCTTTGATCATTTCTATTTAGGCAATGATAAGAAACCAGGGTGGATAAAAATCAATGATTATTTAAAAACCCAAACTGATTTAAATTTTAAAAATTGATTTTTATTTAAATAATCAAAATCTGATTTTTATTTATATAATGATTTATATCAATTTAATTTAAATAAAATCCACCTTGTCAGAAACTGAAACAAGGAGTCTTTTGTTTTATCTGATCATTCTTTCCACTACCAATCTGGTACATTTTATTGTTTTAGAAATGACTAGTATATTGTTTTGATACTAAGTTAACAATCTACTTGATGTAATTCTTCTGGATACAGGGTATGATCACACTGCTTTATTGTAAACATACCTTGCTAGCACAGATGCCATTTCCGCTTGTGGATTGGCCAAGTAGCTCCTCTTAGGTGCAGCATTTGTTCTAAGATCCTCCAGAAGCATAGAGAGATGCATTCCATATAGCAGACATTTGGTCTCCATGGTTTTCCTACCGTGAAATCCTCAAGAAACAGCTGACTCTTAAGTGTTCTCCCACAACACTGAACACTTCAATACTTGAATTTAGGGTCGATTTGATTTATATCAAGCCCATTTAAATCATGATTTAAATAAAAACTCATTTTAAAATCAATTTTTGAAAAAAAAATCATTGATTTTTATCCACGTTACTTGAATTACCGTATTTTTCGCTCCATAAGACGCACCTTTCCATAAGACGCACCAATTTTTTAGGAGAAGAAAACAGGAAAATATAATCTGTTTTCTTCGCTCCATAAGACGCACAGACTTTCCACCCCCCTGTTTTGTGGGGGAAAAGTGCATCTTATGGTGCGAAAAATACGGTAATATTACCTAGGAATATTATTATATCAGATACCCAGTATAATGTAGTGGACAGAGTGATGGCCTAGGACTCAGGAAACCAGGTATTGAATCCCTGCTTAGCCATGGAAACTCACATAGATGTGGCAGGGTGCATATCAATTTAAAAAATCCCAAATCCATATTTTGTTTATATCAACACAAAAAATCTGATTTTTAAAAATTTAAATTAAATCCATCCTTGAATGTGGAACTAGTAAAACCACTCCTTAAATATCTCTCTTACCTTGAAAGCCCTATTAGGGACGCTATAAGTCAATTCCAACTTGACTGCACATAACAACAGTGATAATGCTAACATTAGCACAGATTTGACAAAGTGCACAATCAAGTTATAACATAGGAATCTTCTCTGAACAAATGAGAAGTGAGATATATAAGCTGAAATACATGGCATAAAATTCTGCTTATTATTTATAATACACAGAATTAATGTAATATTAGAATAGGTGACACCAGCTGTCAAAAAAACAACAACACCCCATAATAATACCAATTAGTTGGAAGTATCGATACCACTGATCTAGAAATTTTAAGTGTGTACCTGGCACCTTATTCTGAGTAAACAGTTAAAACACAAGCATGTTTTCTGTAAACACATGAGGGGTAGACAAGTTAGCGAGTATATTTTCTTGCAACAACAACAAAAAGTATTATGACACCTTAAACACTAACCAGTTTTATTTGGTATAAGCTTTCATGGACTCTAGCCCAATTCTTCAGCCACAATTTACAAAAAGATATATATTCAGATTCGTTAAATCAACTGCAGCCTAATGTATACATCAGGTAGCCTTGAATTAGAGGTGTGCATGCTTCACACTGCATGCACACCTCCAATGAATGTGGAAGTTCCTGTCTAACACAAGCAGCTTTCTGGTGTCTGAACAGCCATCCCACTGATGAATCATCCTGTCTGTGTGAAAAGATTCCTTAACCTGAGAGCAGGGTGCGGTCGCAGAAGAATGACCAACAAGTTATCCATCAAAGTGTGCGTGCGTGTAAGACATGTGCCAAGGCTAAGAAACTATATGAGTATATAAGGGTCTGAGAAGTTTTGGAACAAAACTCATGTAAACAAATCATCACATGCGACTGTGAAAGTGAAAACAGTTGGAATGATTAATGCTATGGAAAATAATTAGATACTGTACCAAAGAACCAACTTAGAGAGAAAATGCAATACTAAAAGGAACCAGACTCCTGGCACGAACTAATGTACTTTGCTATTATTTAAACAAACTGTATTAAATCAACTTCCTAAAACTCAAATATGATAATATTTTACGGCAATCAGGAAAATTACAAATTGGCGAACTTATAATATATGTACCATTGTACGGAATATACAAATGTCAAATCTGAATGTCAAACCTGAATGTACGAAACCAGCTTGTTTAAGATTAGCTAATATTAACTACAGTTTAGGGTTTGGACATATTCCTAAATTGCATCCAGTAAAAAAAAGAATGAAAAGCTTCCTTGGTCCTGTAGGAAGGGTGTGCTTAACCAAACTGATGCTTATTCACAGAGCACTAAACCATAGTAACAGTAAACAATAAAGTACAGTGGTGCCTCGCACAGCGAGGTTAATCTGTTCCGGATTAACCCTCGCTGTGTGAAAACATCGCTGTACAGATCAAAAAAAGCCACTGGAACGCATTAAACTTAGTTTAATGCGTTCCAATAGCAGCTTTACTCACCGTACAGCGATCTTTCTCCGATGGCCGGCAGCCATTTTCACGCCCTCCCCTCGCTTAACGAGGGTGCGAAAACACTGCGCGCGGCCGTTTTGTAGCCGCTGAACAGCTGATCGGCGGGTCGCAAAGCAAAGGTCGGTAAGCGAATCGCTTACCGACTTTCGCTCTGCGATTTTGAGCCACAGGGGACGTCGGTGTGCGATCGCATTTGTGATCGCTAGAACGGCCCTGTTGTGCGGATTCGTCGTTCTACGGTGCACTCGTTGTGCGAGGCACCACTGTACTATGGTCTACTGTTCTGTCTGAATGAAGTCAGTTATTTGCATGAATCAGCACTAGATAAAGGGGAATTTAAAAGAGATGGGACCTAGAGAATGGATGCCTTAATATTTAAATGCCAACTATCAATTTCCACTCTCTTTCAAAGATCAAATTTTCAAAAAAAAAATTTCCCATCACCTTAAAACACTTCTCAAACAGCAAAGTTTAGGTTCAACACACATGCTTTAAGGCAGGCTGGTACAGCCACAGATCTCAGTGAATCTTTCAACTAACTGCTAGAGAAAAGCCAGAAAATAAAGCATTTTAAGTTCACAAGGAATAGGGATCTAAGGGCTGCAATCCTACACACATTTATGTGTATGCAAAGCCATATCTCGTAATGAGGAGAAATAAAAAGGTGTCCTCTCCCTTAGACCACAAACCAGTGCTTTTTTAATAGTTCAGAAATAAATTAGAGTTAGGGTGAACAATGAGATGGTCATGTCTGAAAGATGGCACCAATTATTTTTGTTGGCAAAAACTCAAAATGTTTCTGAAGAGCTTGAGAATACTTCTCCAAAGTAGATGAATGGCCAAGAAGATGACAAATGCAGTATAAAACACACAGCAGGGTTTCAAATTAAGATATCAAGCAGGAAAAATTTTTGTCATGGTGGCTAGTTTAATATGAAAAATCAATCAGATATGTAGCACCTTAGAAGGATACACATTTACTGGAGAGTTTTAAAGGAAAAGGTTGTGAATAAACTGACAACAGCAAACGCCTTTATAGAAAACTGTGGTGTGACTATATCTGGAATACCATGCAGATATTTAATTCTTCATAAAGAATATTGACGTTCTAAAGGGCAAAAAATGCAACAGAACTGACAATGACCATCATTCCTACATTCCTAGGGAATTGGTAGAATATTTGGCTTGTTTTCTTTCAGTCATCTCTTTTATGACTGCATTTGGGAATGAATTGTGATATAAACTCATGAAAGCCGCAAAGAGAGAATCCCCCCCCCCACAAAGTTTTAGATCCTAAAGTACCTGGTGGGAGATGCAGGACAGAGAAAAAGAAATACTTCTTCATGAAGTGCATAATTAGATTCATAATAATTTTGCTAACACAAAATGCTGCAAAAGCCACAACTTTACAAGGCTTTAAAAATGAATTTGACAGCTTCACAAAATGGATATTTGCCAATGACCATTAGTCAGAATGGCTACATTACCTTCCAGAGGCAGGACACTACTGACTATCTGGTTGTTGGAAAACTACAATGTGTGAAGGCTGTTGCATTTATGCTTTGCTTTGGAACTTACAAAAAATATTTGGCTAGCCACTGTTGAATATAGTAAGCTGGCCTCTACTCTCATATAGCAGAGTTTTTATTACATTACCAGAATAAACACCAGCAAACACAGCTGCCATTTGCTCCATAGAAGCATGTACATCATTATAATGATAAGTTCTGGACTCCACCCAACACGGGAAAAACAACTTCAAAAACCTAGTTCCAAATTATATATGATGGACCAAATTCACATGCAAACCAACCCATATACAAGACATCTAAATTTTACTACAGTGGACCCTTGACTTACAGACGGCTTGACTTACAGACTTTTTGAGTTACAGACTTCTCTGGCCGCAAAATTTAGGTTTGACTTGCAGACTGAGATTTGACTTACAGACCAGAAAAAAACCAAAATGGAACAAAAATGGCCTGTTACGGGATCAATCGGTTTTCAATGCACTGTAGGTCAATGGAGACTTGACTTACAGACTTTTTGAGTTGAGAACTGCCTTCCAATACGGATTAAGTTCTCAAGTCAAGACCCCACTGTATAGCACAAAAGCTAAGGAGTTGGTTATGACAATAATTTTTCACCAAATGATTGCTAAAAAACTTCCCAAAGAAGTTCTTCCTTAAGAAGTCCAAGAAAAACAAAACCTGCTTTTCTTCCAGGCCCATTTTAATTCATTTTAAAGTGAACAATAAAGCACTTACAGCAGCTGTACTTTCCAATGAAAGTTTTCAAAGATTCTTTCACGCTTTACTTCAAAGGCATAGAGAAAACAAATTAATTTCTAGTTTATTTAAGAACAGAACATATTGAGACCGACACTCCCTCCCCTCCTCACACTGTATTTACAACACAAGAGAACTTCCTGGATAATATTCAGGTATGCACTGCATCTACTATGGCAACGTTATACCCAACTGAGACCAGGTAACACAATTTTGAATTAGCATTCTCTTACCTAAAGAATGTGTCCAAGTTATAGTTAATACTGGATGAATGAACTGGGTTATCTGCGGCCATGAGTCAATCACCCACATCCGGATGCTTGTACTTCTAGGCTAGATAAAATAGCAAAGGTATTTTAATTTATTTTTCCCAAAGCAAATCTTCGTAAATTTTATACAATAAAAAACCCTTAGAAACTATAGTTATATCTCACATCTTATATCACCCAGCTATCTTGATCCAAGGAGTTAAATTCATTTCCTTCTTCCTTTGGAAATCAAGTTCTAATTTAGCCACAGAAAGCATTTTAAGTTTAACTGTGAATTCTTGTTTGACACACATTGCCACTTGGCGGTTGTTCATTATGAACTACTGCTAATATGGGCACATGCATTCATTTTCATCTTCTGCTGGCTAATCAATCATTACACAGAAACTCCACAAAGCACTAGGTTTAGGAGATACAGGTTTCCCGATTCCAAAAAGCAGGCTGTGGATTTGTCCCAATATCCTTTGCTTGGAAGTATGCTGCTTTTGTATATACTGTGTTTCTTTGCTCTCCTGAAGAATGGACACTTTGGATGTTTCAGTGAATTTTACTTCCTGAACTATCTGAATATTTATTTAACTGTTGTCAATTTTATTATGAAACTGATTTTACATTTTATAATGTAAATAACTCTGAATTCATTTTTCAGAATACACAATATTTCTAAATAAAAGCAACAATTTAAGAAAAGATTCCAGATTCCTTTACATCAGTGTCAGCAGAATCCTGCAGATGTTCACTTGATATGTGCATGCCTTGCTACAGCTAACTGATGAAGTGCCTGGGTGTGCATCCTACCACCTGTCAATTAGCAACACAAATTATGCAAACAGTAAGCAAACACTAACAGGATTCTGCTCACTGAACATTTAAGGAATACTCTGGATAGTTGCACAGACTTCTTAAATAAAGGCGCCTGAATTCAGATTTCCCTCTATATGAATGGAAAAATGCTTAATCTTAATTAAAAGAAAGAAAATTCATTGAGGGCTCTATTCAGGAGGGAAATGCAATAGCAATCTTAGCCACTCTCTATACAACTTTTGATACCTGTGGCTACCCCAATCGTCCCAATCAATTTTTCAGGGAGCACAACAGCATGAAACAGGAAAGGAAGATCAGCAAACATCAATGTTCTACTTATTTCCTCCAGTGTAAGACTCCATTTGTGTAAATTTGCTGCCAACCAAAAGTTCTGAAAATTATACTCATTCTCTTTTGTATCATGGCCTGTGCTTATAAGACTTATGCTAGCTTTATAACAAGCCATTATAAACAACACATTCTCTGCTTTCAGTAAGAAAGATCCAGATTAGCAGGAACAGACTCTGCAGCAGCCATTAGGCTTTCTCACCTATACTAGTTGTTTTCCTTAAACATATCATGGAAGAAATACTCTCTAACAGAAGGCAATTTGTGGGACATTAATATATCAACTTTAAATCCACATCACAGGGATGTTATTCAGGGTGGTGTTGAAAAATAATGTCTAAAATTAGACAGGCATGCATTTGTAGGGACAGGACACTTCATTTTAATTTAAAGTACTGCTAGCCAAAAAACATGTTCGCGAAGGCTTTCACGGACGGGATCTAATGGTTTTGCTGGGTTTTTCGGGCTCTTTGGCCGTGTTCTGAAGTTTGTTCTTCCTAACGTTTCGCCAGTCTCTGTGGCCGGCATCTTCAGAGGACAGCAACCTGCTGTCCTCTGAAGATGCCAGCCACAGAGACTGGCGAAACGTTAGGAAGAACAAACTTCAGAACACGTCCAAAGAGCCCAAAAAACCCAGAACAAACCAGTTTGTCTCTGATGCTCATTCAGCCAGTGATCTTTTAAACAATACTGCTGCAACAGAAATTGCTAAATGTATAATCTTGAGATGTACAAACACAAAGAATCAGATGACCCAGTTCATGTCTATTTAAAAAAATTCAGGCACACAATAAACAAAGGCTGCCATTTGTATGGCACACTTACTTAGTTTCATTCTTCAGCAGTATAGAGATAAGAATGACTAATTGTAACCATGTTATGCTTCTTTGATTTTTATCAAAATAAATAATGCCGCGACAGGCATAATACAACAATTTTCACACTAGGTGCCCGTTCTAGTCAACTTAATGGACCTAATCATCACCTTCCATGCAAATATTTATCTCTGTATCTTCTTCAAAGACAGATGTTCAAAATCAAGATTCATAGCTTGCAGGGTAATCCAGGTGGGAACACACATGAGCCTTTTGGATATTTTGCACCTATAATTACCAGGAATTCTCCCAAATATAATTCTGGGAGCTGCAGCCAAGGAAGCTGAATCCACAAAATAGTTTCTCATCAATCACACACTGATCTCAATAGGCCTCCAGCTTGTCAACCTGCAGGGATACCAAGACGCCTCTGTGGACCTAGACTTCTTGGCTGCAGCACCCAGAACTCTGACTGGGGAAATTCTTGGCAAGCTGTGGAGGCTATAGTGCAACAAATCCAAAGTCCCATGTCTAGTGAACACCCTTTTGAATAATCTTGTGTCCAGTATGCAACAGAAAAACCAATCCATTCACAGATAAAAGTATGAAAAACGTCCAGTGATTTTCCAACTTACATGAACACCAACCTAATATTTAAGAATTTAACATCACTGTGGATGATTGCTAACAATACAGATCCGGATATAGAAAAAACAACAAAAAATAAGGTTTTTGTTGCTATCTTGTATCTCAACATTACCAACACACTCAGCTTGTTTCTGAATAGACAAACATTGGCAGTAAAAAACAACACCCAATATAATGACAAACAAGGTTGGACTTACCCTTTCAACTCAATTATTCAATGAATAATTTACCTAGATCTAGGAGTTGCCTGCTATGAATTAAACAGCTCTGCTCACACTCTCTCTCTCACACACACACACACACACACACACACCAAAAACAAAACAAAACAAAAACCTCTACAAGATTTCTGGGCATTCTCTTTCCCACAGTGCACTGCAACTCATCAAATTCAGCAGTATTCCTGTGTAGCATTTGCAGGGGCTACAATGGATGCCAGAGAAGTTTACCACCAATAACCAGAGTTGTACATCTGGATCCAGCTCATTTTCCCTATCTCCTGTACAGAAACCTATCCTTGAAGGGGGGGGATGACTGGGATCCAAAGAATCAAGTGAAAACTTGAGCTGTTGAAGGATGTTTTAAATCTTTATTTGAAAAGAATCCTTCCTTGGGTTTAACACTGCCAAAATCCAGTTCTTCTCAGAAACACATTTTTTTAAAGGAACAAACAAATAAACATGTTTCATGTTATTCTAGCACCTTACTTATTGAATGTATTCATGAAGTGAAAGTATTAACTACTGTGGTTTGATCACTCTAGTGTTATACACTCCAATCTACAATACAGGCTTCTGGACACCTTCCTTTCCAAAACCTGCCAAGCAAGCAACAGGGAAATAAATCTAATCTTTAGAGTGACTCATCTACAAAAGGAGAAAGGAGACATACCCTATCATGAACAACACACCAATATCATGCAGTAGCAGTCTGAAAGAGAAATGCATCTCTGTGCTAACTTTTTAAACTGCTAGCAATAAAAACGCCACAAAACAAAATCACCACCTCCCTTGAACTTCATCCAGGATCCTCAGATTGAAAGCATATTGATTTGCAAACAAAATACCTCATAGCTGCTGCCCCGCTGTTTATAAACAGGAGCCTGAAGCAGACATGGAAACATACTTTCTACGTCAGAAGCAGATTTTCAGATCAGAGTGAATTGGGGTCTAAAGGCTAATTAGGGGCAACATTTTATGATTTAGGAGGCTACTGCTCTACTTCTTTTTGGCAGAACCCACGCAGGCGTCTCGCTCAACACCTAAGGTCACCAGCCGCTTTTCAACATCGCTCTAGGCTTCCAATGGCTCTCGCTAACAAGAAAAAATGCACGTTCACTGGTACACCCCACTCCCCCCGTACAGACGGTGATGAAAACACTTTGCCTGCCAGCCAGCCCCTGAGAGGGACAGGAAGCGCCGCCAGAGAAAGTCCCTCACCCACCCTCATGGCCGGCCTACGCACCTCATACAAGCTCCTCAGCAAAGAGAAAATCGCTCCGGCTCGCTGGCCTTCGTCCCGAGCCCCAAGCCAGCCTCCTCGTCCCCTACAGCCCACTCCCGCCGCCGACCCCGCCCGCAACACCGAGGCTCCACCGTCGGGCCTTGTCCTGATGGCGCAGGAGCCAATACTTCCCGTCTCACGAAGGAGCGTCTCGCTTGGCAACCCAAGGCCGCCTACACCCCCCCACCCCCCAGTCCCGCGTCGCCTCACCTGAGAATCCCGAAAGCTCGTGGGAGGCTGTAAGCGGAGGGAAAGGCAAACGACGGTCGACGCCACTCAGACCCCAAACGAGCCCAGTCACTCCGGCGGCAGCAGACGGGCGAGGGAGGTGCCGTTGACAGTTACCCACTGTCGCCACTTTCCTCTGCGCATGCGTTTGGGGACGCACACCTCCTGTTGACCCAGATACCGGCGCATGCGCATTTCATTTTCTATAGCTCACTTCCGCGTTATCGTGCGGTTTGGACTGACGGCAACGACTTTTCTCGTTCAGCCCGAAGGAAAGAAAAATAAAGCGCATGCGTGTATTTATGGGGGGGGGGGGGGAGGAAACGGTAGGAAGGGTCATGTGATTCCAGACACCATTTTATGTTTTGATTGCTAATAGGCGCCTAAAATGGTAGAAAATTACTGTAGTAGGGAACTCAACTGGTTTTAAAAGAGGCGGGCTTTTTGTATTGCCTTTAAAATAATATTAATTTGAGTGGCAGGTAGTTGTTTCTTGGTAGGAAAAGTTGAAGACGTCATGTGCTGGAAATAGCACGTCAAACATGTTGGGAGGCGAAATGGGGGAGAAACAAGTTTTTAAGAGAAAAAAATGACTTCTATCTTTGTGCAATAAGTGAGCTCTTTTGAGCTTGTCTTATCACGTTCCATGCAGCTAGGTATTTTTGTACTGCGCGTTAGGCCACATGCACTTTCACTGAAGAGTGAAGGGCTCTAAAAATATTAAAATTTCGAGTATTCACTTGTTGAAATTGGCTGACTTGCTATGGGAAAGCGAGAAACATGAAGGGTAATTATTCAGCCCCCAATGCTGTAAAGGGGTTTAGGGACTATAGTGTACATTTGGAATTGTATTCAGAATGAAATCCTACAAGGACGTTTTAAAGAACCAAATGCAACTAAAATAACATCAATTGTTTATGTAATACAGTAGTAAATGTTTCTTTTGTGGTTTCTTCATTGCCACAATTATTCAACCCCTTAAAGACTTCCACTCTGAAGAAGAGAGGTTCATTCAGGTGTTTTCGATCAGGTATTGAAAGCACCTGTGGATGTCACCGAGCACCAATCAAGCATAATAAGCACCAATTAGGCAGCTTTAAAATGACTGTGATACTCAGCTCCTTCTAGACATTTACTGGTGTGGTTACAAACATGGTGAAGTCAAGAGAATGGTCCGGGAAGACAAGAGAAGAGGTGATTTGTCTTCACAGGAAGGGCAATGGCTATAAGAATATTGCAAAGAAGTTAAACATACCAAGAGACACCATAGGAAGCATCATTCACAAATTCAAGGCAAAGGGCACTGTTGAAATGCTACCTGGTCGTGGAAGAAAGAAGATGCTGACTTCGACTGCTGTGCGCTACCTAAAGCGTAGAGTGGTGAAAAGTCCCCGTGTGACTGCTGAGGAACTGAAAAAAGATTTGTCAGATGTGGGTATAGAAGTTTCAGCTCAGACAATAAGGCGCACACTGCGTAATGAAGGTCTCCATGCCAGAACCCCCAGGCGCACCCCCTTGCTGTCTCCCAAGAATAAGAAGAGTCGACTGCAGTATGCCAAAAGTCATGTGGGCAAACCACAAAAGTTGTGGGATAGTGTTCTGTGGACTGATGAAACAAAATTAGAACTGTTTGGGCCCATGGATCAACGCTATGTTTGGAGGAGGAAGAACAAGGCATATGACGAAAAGAACACCTTGCCTACTGTGAAGCATGGCGGAGGGTCAATAATGCTTTGGGGCTGTTTTGCTTCTGCAGGTACAGGGAAGCTTCAGCGTGTACAAGGTACCATGAATTCTCTTCAGTACCAGGAGATATTGGATGAAAATGTGATGCAGTCCGTCACACACCTGAGGCTTGGGAGACGTTGGACCTTTCAACAGGACAATGATCCCAAGCATACCTCCAAGTCCACTAGAGCATGGTTGCAGAGGAAAGGCTGGAACATTTTGGAGTGGCCATCGCAGTCACCAGACTTAAATCCGATTGAGAACCTCTGGTGGGACTTAAAGAAAGCAGTTGCAGTGCGCAAGCCTAAGAATTTGACTGAACTGGAGGCTTTTGCCCATGAAGAATGGGCAAAGTACCCGTAGATCGCTGCAAGACACTTGTGTCAAGCTATGCTTCACGTTTAAAAGCTGTTATAACTGTAAAAGGATGTTGTACTAAGTACTAAGATTGAATGTCACTTGGGGGTTGAATAAAAACTAATAATGATGTGAGCACAGAAAAGACATTTGTGGTTATTTCATTATAAACTTAAGGTTATATTTCTCTGACCTACAAGTGCCTCTTTCATGTAAATGTAAGCAAGATGACTGAATGATCAAAATCAATGTCAAAATGGCCAAAACATTCAATTTCAGTGGGGGTTGAATAATTTTGAACACAACTGTATGTGATTGAGTTCAGACACGATTAAATTAATGACTTAGAGAAGAATAACCTGTTGAGGGAAGTTCAGGTGCCTTATAAGCTATCTTTTTAATAAATAAAAAATAATAAATAACAAAAACGAAAGTATTGTGGCATCATTAAGGCTAATAGAAGTATGTCATTGTGAGCATTTGTGCATTATTACGTACAGTATTTTCCTGGCTGAAATCATTGGGTAAGTTGTTAGCTTGCATTACTAGTAAAAGATTCTCATTTCTGAATACCTTTTCAAAATTCCATATTGTAAGGTAAAACTGGAGGAAGGCAACCTAGGGAGGGGGAATGCCAAAGGTTGGTGGTGGGAAAAGATCCCACTGTTATTTATTTAAAATATTTTCCCATCAACTTTCTCCTTAAAAAAGGACCAAAGGTAGCTTACAATAAAAAGGACCAAGTCTCCTGCCTAGAGTGGTCGAAATGACTAGATAGGCGGGGTATAAATACAATAAATAAATAAATAAAATTCGCCAGCCCCCTTCATTTTTGTTGTTCAGTCATTAAGTCGTGTCCCAATGGGCCAGGCATGCTCATGACGCCTCTGCGTCCCAGAGTTGGATCATATTCATGTTGGTTGCTTCGATGACACTGTCCAACCATCTCATCCTCTGTCATCCCCTTCTCCTCTTGCCTTCACACTTTCCCAACATCAGGGGCTTTCCCAGGGAATCTTCTCATGAGATGGCCAAAGTAATGGAGCCTCAATTTTAAGATCTCACTTCCAGTGAGCACTCAGGCTTTATTTCCTTTAGAATTGATAGGTTTGTTCTCCTTGCAGTCCAGGGGACTCTCAAAGAGTCTCCTCCAGCACCACAATTCAAAAGCATCAATTCTTTGGCGGTCAGCCTTCTTTATGGTCTATCTCTCACTTCCATACATCGCTACTGGAAAAACCATAGCTTTGACTATGCGGACCTTTGTCAGCAAGGTGATGTCTCTGCTTTTTAAGATGCTCTCTAGGTTTGTCATCGCTTTCCTCCCAAGAAGCATTTTAGTTTCATGGCTGCTGTCCCCATCTGCAGTGATCATGGAGCCCAAGAAAGTAAAATCTGTCACTGCCTCCATGTCTTACCCCTTTATTTGCCAGGAGGTGATGCGACCAGTGGCCATGATCTTAGGTTTTTTGATGTTGAACTTCAGACTATTTTCTTGCGCTCTTTCACCCTCATTAAGAGGTTCTTTAATTCCTCCTCACTTTCTGCCATCAGAATGCCATCATCTGCATATCTGAGGTTGTTGATATTTCTTCCGGCAATTTTAATTCCGGTTTGAGATTCCTCCAGCCTTTCGCATGATGGATTCTGCATATAAGTTGAATAAGCAGGAAGATAATATACAGTCTTGTCGTACTCCTTCCCCATTTTGAACCAACCAGTTGTTCCATATCCAGTTCTAACTGTTGCTTCCTGTCCCACATATACTTTAGATTTCTCAGGAGATGGATAAGGTGGTCAGGCATTCCCATTTCTTTAAGAACCTGCCATAGTTTGCTTTGGTCCACACAGTCAAAGGCTATGGAAGATGCTAGGTTAAAATGACCTTTGATGTGGTCCAGCAGAGTTCTTTTCATGTTCTTATGTTATAATCTTTGGTTCAAAACATGTTGCCAAACAGAGACAATGTTGGAGATTTATGGTGGTCTTTTCTGCCTCTATCAATATATTCTTCTGTACCTCTATATCTCCACTGAGATGAAGTGTTTCCTGTCCCACATATAGATTTCTCAGGAGATAGATAAAGTGGTCAGGCACTCCCATTTCTTTAAGGAGTTGCCATAGTTTGCTGTGGTCCACACCGTCAAAGGCTTTTGCATAGTCAATGAAGCAGAAGTAGCTGTTTTTCTGGAACTCTGGCTTTCTCCATAATCCAGCACATGTTAGCAATTTGGTCTCTTGCTCCTCTGCCCCTTCGAAATCCAGCTTGTGATTCTGGGAGTTCTCGGTCCACATACTGCTGAAGCCTACCTTGTAGGATTTTGAGCATAACCTTCCTAATGTGTGAAATGAGTGCAATTTTACGGTAGTTGGAGCTTTCTTTGGCACTTTGGGATTCTGCCCTTTGGGACAGAAACAAAAGGCCCCTTCATTGGGAAACTTTAAAAAACGATTAAAAATGTGGATTTTTAGAGAGGCCTATAATTGAATATATCTTGATAACAGTGCCTTTAACAAATAACATTCAACCTACAGCTATGTTTTTCATTTTACTTTATTATGTTCAGTATGTGGTTTTTTAATATAATTTGTTTGTAATTTTTATATTTTGTTTGGATGTTGTCGATTATCCTCATTATGTTATTGTTTTATCCTACTTGTACATCGCCCAGAGTGGCGCCTTGGCAGCCAGATGTGTGGTATATAAATAAATACTGTAAATCCATCCATCCATCCATCCATCCATCCATCCATCCATCCATCCATACATCCATCCATCCATCCATACATACATACATAATTAAAAAGACAATATCAAAAGCCAAAAGCAGTAATTTATCCAGATATTTAAAAATAATTAATAACATTATATTAAACATGTTAGGTAAAAGAATTATTGAAAGCAGGTCTAGAACCAACAAAATATAAGCCATCCTTTTTATTGTTGTCTTGATGGTCAGTCACTAAGGAAAAGTCTACTTGTAGAGAAAGGTCATGGCCAGCTTGAAGAAGAACAGCAAAGATGGGGCCAGCCTGGGTTCCTGTGGGGAGAAGTTCTAGAGTTTGGATGCAGTAACAGAGTACTGTATACCGTCTCCTGTGCCCCCACCAAACACCTGAGGG